GAGCCTCAATTATTCACAATATTTATTAACAACCTAGATAATGGCACAGAAAGAGATCGATCCAAATTTGCTGGTGGCACAAAATTAGGCAGCGCTGGGGACAGTGTAGATGATAACAAAATTACAAAGGGACATTGATAGACTAAGTGAACGGGTAAAACTGTAGCAGATAGAGTTCAATATTAGCAATTGTAATGTTATCCATTTTGGACCAAGAAAGGATAGATCAGGGGACTGTGTAGATGTGACGTACAGGTATTTCTCCTATAACGCAATAGTTATATTAATGTGTGATCTCGCTCTATAGAAAATAGTCATAGAAAATCGCGTTATTGGGAAATCACGATACTGTACTGTAGACAGTTCACATTATCCAAACAGTGTTCACCATTCATCTAATCGCGTTACAGCCAATTCGTGTTAACAAAACTCATAATAGCAGAACTACCTGTGGTTCAATATAACGAGTGTCCAAAGAGACGTGGGGATTCAGGTGCACAGATCTTTAAAATGTCATGAGCCGGTCAGAAATAATTAAGAGAGCTAATGGAATGCTGGCCTTTCTATCTAGAGGATTGGAGTATAAGGATGCAGACATTATGCTGCAGTTACACAGAACCCTGGTTAGATCCCACTGGGAATACTCTGAGCGGATCTGGGCACCTCACCTCGGGAAGGATTACAATGTAGGTTCACAAGAATGATTCCTGTACTTTAAGGGTTAAAATATAAGGAGAGATTATACAAATTAGGCTGAAAATACAAAATGCTGGAAATCGCACAGGGTCAGGAAGCATCCATGCAGAGAGAGCAAGCTAATGTTTTGAGTCGAGATGACTCTTCACCCAATGCTCTGTGTGTGTGTCTCTGTACTGACTCTAATTCCCCGCGGACTGTGTGTGTCTCTGTACTGACTCTGATTCCCCGCGGACTGTGTGTGTGTCTCTGTACGGATTGTGATTCCCCGCGGACTGTGTGTGTGTGTCTCTGTACGGATTGTGATTCCCCGCGGACTGTGTGTGTGTGTCTGTACTGACTCTGACTCCCCGTGGACTGTGTGTGTGTCTGTACTGACTCTGATTCCCCGCGGACTGTGTGTGTCTGTACTGACGCTGATTCCCCGCGGACTGTGTGTGTGTCTCTGTACTAACTCTGGTTTCTGTCCAGGTGGACTGTGCCTCTCTCTCCGCTGATTCCACTGGGGCCTCAGAAGCCAAGCTCCAAGCTGCCTTTGCAGAAGCCGAGATTTACTGTCCGTGTGTTCTGCTGCTGCACAATCTGTCGATGATTGGGAGAATAAGAGATGATGTCGGTGCAGATTCACGCCTGATCTCTTCACTTCACCGATTCATGAAGGACCTCCGCCTGAGTTGCAAGTACGTTGTGAAAAGTGGTTGTGAGAGTATACTCCCATCCGCAGGGTCAGAGATTCGAACCCCTCCCTGCTCTGTTTCTGATTGGTTAGTCTCACTGTGTGAGACATGTCCCATCTATCAAAACCAGGGAGCGGGTTTCTCTGGATGATGTCTTGTGTACTGAGAGTAAGGGATCCTCTTTGAAAAAGTAATCCTGACATGAGAGAATTTGCCATTGAGTTTAATCATGATGTGTGTAGGTCTGACACATTCGAACTCTATTTAAATTTAATCCCATTGGAATAGGGGCTAAAGAAGACTGGGGATCTGGAGTACAGGCAGTAATAGTGAAAAGGTACTTCTGAACATTTGTAGAAATGTGTTGTCATTATTAAACACTATAAATTGTACATACAGACAACATCATATAATCTGAGAAATACGATCTCATGGAAAGTGAAGTTTGGAAAAGTGAAGAGTTAAAACCAGAGGTTGGTCAAATGTTAATTTTCCAAAATTCCTTGGAACGGAATGTATTGAATAAAACTCCTTCTCTGAAGAGGGGAGGAGGAGGTAACTGGAAATTATAGGCCAGTAAATCTGACATCCACTATCAATCATTAAGGATGTTATAACTGGGCACTTGGAAAGTCTCGATGTAGTCAGGTAGAGTCAGCATGGTTTTGTGAAAAGGGAAACCCTGTTTAACATTTTGAGTGTTCTCTGAAGAAGTAACATGTGCTGTGGATAAAGAGGAGAATATTGATGTACGACTTGGATTTCCAGAAGGTATTTGACAAGATTCTACATTTACCAAGTAGAAGTTAATGGTATAGGAGTAGTGTACTTGCAATGGTAGAAGACTGGTTGGCAGGCAGAAAACCGAGACTGTACATAAATAGATCACTGTCTGATTGACAGGATGTGACAATGGAGATCCACAGGGAATCTGTGCTGAATATTATGTTTCAGTCGTACTGGCAGTTCGGGAGATTGCATCTCAAATGCTGTGTACAGTCTTGGTCTCCTC